GGCAGATGCACCTACCCCCATGTACTTATTTTAAAAATTACACATTATTTAGTCAAAAAAGCTGTGTGTTTGTATTCTTTCAGAAGTGAAGTTGGGGGGAGAGAGGAAATAACTGATCCATGAGATACATTAATAGCATACTGAGAAGAAGGCTGCTGTTTCCCTGCACCCACGGTGACAAGTGGGCTTTCCTATCTCAGCAGACCAAGCTTTCCTGTTTTGCAGAGCCCTTATAAAAGAAAAAAGACTGATACTTTCAGTATGCTAACACACTGTCTGAACATCTACCCAAATGGTGTACTAAAATCTATGTAAGATGACCAACAACTTGGTGTTTCATTATGAGAGCTTACTCCAAGTAGCTGGAAAGCAGTCGTGGATTTTGCCACTTTTTCAGGTGGGGCTACACAGAATAAGCACATGGCTTGTGCAAAGGAGTGGAAGCCATGACTGACACGCTCTCTTGTGATAGAATGAGTTTTAATTTATACTTATTAGTCATTAGCACTGAAAGCAACAAACCTTTCCAAGGAAAGCTGCTTTAAAGAATCATTTTCCAGTAGGTGTGACTTATCAAGCATCAGAAGAAGCCTTTGGTCTCGTTCACAGGCTATTAGAACTGTTAATTACCTGTTAATGTTCTTCATACTGTCTCGCGCTTGTTCTTTTTATCCAATTGCACGTCAGTGAGAAATGGAAAGCCACTGAGATATGCTTATGTACATGAAAAACACAATCAAGACCATCACTGATTTACAGTAACCTTGTTCCACCACACTCAGAGCTGCCTACACACAGGCAGGATGTGCAAGGTCAGCTAAATGAAGCAACTCCTTGTGCCGGCTCCAAAAAATATCATTGCTCTTAAGTTCCCTCAGACTCCTAGAAGCAAGCACTGAGCTGTCATATTTACAACACAGGCCTGAAAAATATACGTTCAAAAGTAATTCATCCTTTACAGACATCTTGAATTGTGATAAAAATTGCAATTAGTTTTTATGCACCACCCCTTAAAGGAGACAGAGGCCTCACTTCAGTTCTACTACTGATTTCAATGCTGCTTTCTCCACCTGCTTTGCATTTCATCTTCCTCACATTCACTTTCCTCCATGCCTCCCCTTATTAAAAGTCAGTGTGGATAAAAAATAAAGATCACTTATGACAATTTCCCCATTTCTACACAGGATTTACATGCACTTCCATCTACAGAATATTATCAGATACAAAAGTTGTTCATATTTCTGCAGTGTGTTTGACCTCCTCACAAAAGTATACTTTTCTTCAAAAACGACTGCCAAAGAATGCCCTCTTATCCCCTTAAAGTGACTCTTCTACTCATGCCAACAAAACACTACACACAGTATATGCACTTACAGAGAGTGGCCATTACACACCTACTGAGAAATAATTCTATGTGCTTTTTACTTGCAGATGTTTCTAGTAATGATTTACAAATCTGGACACAACTATTGGTTTGAACATCAACATGTCTGTACACAGAAAACAATGTTTTCACCTTAACATCTGGCAACATTTCAAAGAAAATTGGGGCACTTAGTAGAAAAGTGAACATGACAGGAATACGGTCTGATGAGATCATAGCATTAAACAGGTATACTTTCTTTTTGGAAATCAATACTGAAAAACTATACTCTAATTGTAGCCATACAAAATGTTTATTATTTTACAAATTATTTGTACACTATATTTTCACTTTATCATTGCTTTGTGCTCAGACAGTATAAATATTACAGCATGTTTTTCTTACACAGGAATGTCCTTACTGTCTTGGTATAATCTTACTTTGTACGTCAAAAAAATACAGAAACATATTACAAATAAGATAGAAAGCCATTATGAACGAAGAATGTAAAACGCCTTTGTGAATAAAGTGCACCACAATGGTTTCAGAGGCATGATTCAGGGGATATTCAGTAGACTGCACATCATCAGTACAATACCAAACAAAATTAATTTTGGAAGTCTAACAGGTCTTCCTCAGTTGTATGAAGAGTACATGGTTTAACTTTACGGGAATAGTTTGTCTTTCTAGAAGGCTGTTTAAGAGGTTCTTCTGGTGTTAGGGTTTTCTATTTTGTTCATTTTGTTTGCATATGGGCATTCACACCCTGTACCATGCATGCAATTTCCAAACTTTTTCAGTTTCAGTATGGCAGATAGATGCTAGGCTTTACACTAACACACTTTTTGATGGAATTACTAAATCACTGAAGTCGAAGAATGGGTACAAATTTACAAACAGAGCTAAGTGTCCCAAAGATGCTGTTCAGATCTGGTACATCCTACCTCCTCTGACTCTTTTGGGGATACGTGGCATCATGAGCTTTCCCAGTCTGCAGGGCTGCTGCTGCTTCCACACTTGCAGCTTTAAGATAACCCTGCAAAACTCGAGTCAAAGACACAGAAATTTATTTCACAGGGTATTTCACTCCCATTGCATAGAAGGGCCTATCTACATACAAAATTTCACTGGAATAACTAGAATAATCACTCAAAATGTAAGTTAATAAAGCTGATGCCCAAAGCGGCTGACACAATTTAACGCAGATTTCCCTTACCAAGGCAGCTTAATCTGGTTATGAACCAGCTCAGGCTAAATAACTGTAAGCTGCTCTTAAATTATGTCTGCACTTCTGTTACAGCAAATGAAAAATAAGCACAGGAGCGCTCAGGTGATTCTAGTGAAATTTGCACGTTTGAACAAAAGCTAACAGAAAAGCTCAGCCTTGCTCTCAGAGAGCTGAGTTCCCACTGAAGCCAAACAGAACTCACCACTTTATGGCATGCTGAGTTTGGCCCTCTATTTTTAAGTTACTTTTAAAAGCAACATTTTTAGGCAGCTATTAACACAAAAAGACATTTGGATGTCTTGTATTACACGGATTAGATCAGTATTAATTAGCTGACAGGTAAATGAGATGGTAGCCTGTCTTTAGCAAACTTGTATTTACACAAAAGATCCAGTTTCTTTGGTTGCTCAGTGTCCAAGTCACCCAAATGTGTATTTGTGTATTCCAGATGCTGCATGTTAATATTGATCATTAAAATTATTTATCTGTTTCCATTTTTTTTGTTTTCTTGGGGTTTTTTTTGCACTTGGTTTATGGAAATTTTCTGACTATTGCAGACCAGTCACTTGTATAAACATACAGCAAGTATATACATTGAGATTACAAAAATACATTTTATTTATATTTGATTTTTAAATCATAAAAATGAAATTTCACAATAGTTTAAAGATCAGCTAGCATTCCTAAAGATTCTGCAATACCTCGGAGGTCTCAGAGCAGATGTCAGTGTATTCTAGGATAACTATATATCATGATCTCTAACAGGGTTTATTATGTAATCATTTGGGGGAAAAAATAGTGCTGTATTAAAAGTTTGTGCTTCATCAGTTTCTTCCTCTTTCCCCTGCTCTAGTCTCATACCTCTCATTTTACTGATGGCCAAAAAGCTAAACTAAGCTCTCTTTCTCACTTTGGTAAAGACCAAAGAAATTCAAGAAAATGAAATGATCAAACAAAATAACATAGGCAGTTGAGAATAACTAAATAACTTACTGAAATGAAGGACATTACCTTTAACTCCAGTTGACATCAGACATGCCCAATACAATGTATTTTGCAACAACTTCAGTTCCCAAAGCTACTGGCCAAAGGAACTGAAAACAATTGTTCATCATCTCCAACTATTCTGTACAACTGCAAAAGACAAACTACTGTCCTATTCAACTGGTCTGATTTTCTTTCAGGATTGGATTCATACAGTAATGCAGTTTAACTATTAGTTATTTTTATCTTGAGCAACGTACAGTCAGCATCATTTCCAGAAATGCCCTCTTGTTTCAAAGCACGCCAGTGTTTTTGTTAATCCATTTAATCGTATTCTTATTTACATGTTAATATAATAATCAGGTCCTCTACATTCAGAACTTCCTACATGTGTAAGCACTGTTCCAGACTGATCAAGATCAACTGTGGCTTCAGGTAGCAATTCAGTAGACAGCATTATTTGAGAAAGACAAAAAAGCACTGTGTCAAACAGAGGTTGTCTTGTACAAGCAGGTGTATTCACTATTCCAGGTTGGAAAGGCTTGCTCAAAGGTCTCATGTTTACCAGCTTCACATGCATTCAGAGTGAAAAGCCTGAATATAGAGCAAACACAAATAACCTTTTTTCATTTCTCCTGGAAACTTCTAGCACCAGTTTCCTTTGTTACCTCTTCACAGATTGTGCTCTCTCACATAGAAAAAATCTCCTCCATAACTCATCAGTGGCATTCATGGACAAGGTAACCATTAACTATCAAAATATCATTAGTCTCCTCACAGTCTTCTCTTCTTTCACTTCTTTATACTGTAAATAGGATGAAAAGAATTGGGGCTATTCACAGGACATTTATTAGTATTACTTACTCATCTCAGATTCTTTTGGTTTGGTTACAGTCTCTAGAATGAAAAGGCTGCAGTGACGCAGATAAATTCAATCAACATTCCTTGCACAATGTCCCACAACAAAAAATTAATGTGGCTGCCATGCCTACCATGGCCTTTAGCTTGCTACTTTCCATCCGTTTTCTTCTTTAATCAAAGAAATAAGGTTTTGACATGTAGAAGACATTTTCTTCAGCAGCTCTGTTGGGCCTGCAACTGAAATATTGCATGGCACTGACATGTACAGCAGCATCTCTAGCGGTGATGGGTCGCAGTATGAGCGCCAAGTGACAAACACTCACATGTGATCAATATTATCCATTTCAAAGAGTTACCTGGCAGCATTTCCTTAGCTGGCAAGGAGAATACATATCTTCAGGGTCCTGCTGCTCTACTCTAAGTCATTTCATAGTGTTGACTGTTCAGATGGAGAAAAATGCCATCACTTTGCACAATTCACTGCAGGTTTATAAGTGAGAATTAAAGAGGTCACTTTCTTGGCTGCTTCAAGTTACGTGATACAAATGCTGTGCACAAAAGACATTAAACCTGGAACTCAAACATATCTGTTTGCTTCTTGGCCAGTTTAGCAACTTCTTCTCTTATTGCCTTTACTAAGGCAGCTGTAGAAATGTTGGTGAGAGGAGCATCAGAGGGGTCGTTTTCTGTCAGGCTCTGTTGAGAAGCTGTGGCAGAGGGCAAAGGAGCTTGTTCCAAGCTGGGATGCATGCTTGCTGATTGGCTGTATTGGCGAGGCAGTCGTGAAGGAGAATTGTGTTGGTAGCGGGGCCTTGGATAAGCCTCGATGTATCCAGGGAGCGGAACCTGTAGAGCATCGTAATTACACCAAATTATACAGAACAATTTATCCTTAGTGCTGCCTGGCAGGTAACATAAACCTCCACGGGGTAGAATAAGATGGACAGATAGGAACCTATAACGGGAATGTAAACTCTACATCCTGAAGTGTCAGCTGACAAATGTGCATCTTTGCATGTGCCATCTAAGCACACACATCAGTAAGACAGGTACTCAACTCAGTGTGGCAGCACTGAACGACTAAATTTATTGTCACTGTAAAAAAACCAAGGAGGAGGCTTTTCTGAAAGCGTCCTCTCTTAAGTAGCCAGCTCTACTGTACTTCAGGACTCTGAAAACCCAGTACAGAGGAATCTTCTGACCTGCAGCAATAAGGGGGGCTGTTTAGTCCTCGTGACTACTAATTTTCCTTCACAAATCCACGATACCAGTTTTCAATTCACAGTAAACTTAAGTTCTCAGTTTTTTTTAATGCAGCAAATAAAAATAGCATTCATTTATATTTTGCAAAAAGTCTAGAAAATAGATAGATACAGCCCTCCATGTTAAAAGGTTTTATGCTGTGACAGAAGGCAACCCATAACATATTACTAGGACAAGATAATTTCTCCTTGAGGAAAAATCCACCAACTTATTACCATAATCCACTCCAATGAGAAGGAAGAGAAGTCCAGTGATATTTATTTTGAACAGGATGGCTGATAATACCACATTTACCATAAGGTAACCAATAAACTACCACTGCATTTAAGCACTGAAAAGTTAATTGACTAATTTATATCACTCTAATTGGGAAGAATACATGTTGTTAGCTTTTCAAATGCACTAAAACCTTGCACAAATACGTAATACAGTCTGCCTGGCATGTGTCTCACACATTCAGTGTGGTGTGATAACAGACACAGGGAACAAGCATGGTATAAAAGTGACAAATGCAGTTGCCTCTTTAGTTTTTTCTCCATAGATTATTCAGAAGACAAACATTTTGGCAGCACAACACATGAACATACCACTAGAGGCCACCAGGTTCCTACTTTCACTAAGCAGCATCCATCAATTTGGAAAATAAATGCATTTCCCTTCTCTCACAATGCTTAGTGCTTCAATACTTACCTTTGAATTGAAAAGCAACATTTAAGGAAATTAAGCTTACAGGACAACTCCCATTTCACCTGCCACCTTGGTGTTTAATTTACAACCCAGTTAGTGGAAATGCATGAGAAGTACAGCATCTCATTTTTAAGTCTCTGCTCTTCCTAAAGGAACTAAAGTGCTTGTTGCTTTGTTTTTGCTTTTTTTACATTTCTTTCCTTCCTTCTGTTATATCACAGAAGGGCTAAAAGTCTGGATAACAAGAAGTCATTTAAACCTCTGTAACAGATAAGTGAAGTTGAAAGGAAAAATTCATTTCCTTTGAATTCTATAATGTCACAGTTAATTTTCAGACAGCTTCTCACCTCCCTCTCCATCCCTTTGTGCACACAGCAGAAAGGAAGGCCCACTGGCACTATGTGCTCTTCTCATCTCTTTCTCCTTCTAAAGGAAGGAAACTGGAGGTCAGAGCCTTGTTTTCCAGTTTAGTCTGGTTTGTTCTCAGGCTTGACTTTTGACAGGTGATACCTGATTCTTACATGGGACTGAAGCTGAGATGCAAAAGGGAAAAAGAATATACAAGCAACAAAGTACTTCTCCCATTTTTTTTTTTTTTTTTTCTTCTTAATGAAGAAGTTCTAATTGAAGTTCAGATACAAGTAGGTCTCTTGAATCTACTAAATGTCAGTAGGATTACGAATAAAAATACATTTTTAACAAAGATTTTCTGTGCTTTCATTCTGGAAAGGGAATCTGTATGACTTCACAAGCCTTCAGCTATTGGGAGCACAACATCAGATACAGTTTGTATATGAATATCCTTTTTCTTGACAGTTCAGACTACAAATTCAGACTTGCATCTGAGAATCAAATTGAATTCTTTTCCTCCTATACATCAACAGCAGTCATGAAGATCTGGCACAAAAGAGCTGTCCTCAGGAACATCTGTATGACCTTACTGTCTCTTGCTTAGTTGCTTCAAGGCAACTATTTGTCTCCAAGTGCAGTTCACTAAAATATTCTGTTGATCATCTGCACAAAGAAATAGAATCCATCTCCCAGTTTAGCTGAATTGGTTCTGCATAAACATTAGAATTAAGCTCAAGCAAAAGAGTCAATCCTGCATTTTTTTTCCTTAGTAGCATTGAAGTTAAATGTCTTAAAAAAAAAAAAAAAAAAAGCCCCTAAGTGATAGAATTTGTTTCAGACATGATGAACTACTGCAATTCATTTTAGGATCTCAGTTTCATTTCTTTGAAATGCGAGTATACTTCAGCCTAACAATTGGATCTGTCCAAGGATAGAATTGTGCAATTAATTATTTAGTTTAAGATCTGTCACTCCCAGCAGAAATGCTGCACAGCAGGGCTGTGGCAGATTTGGGAGCTAGTATCTGGGAGTGAGGCTGTCTTGAGAGAAGTCTTCGGGGTAGAAAGATGTTCCCCAGCTTTGAAACAGCATAAAGCCACTTCGTGAGACAACAGCATCACTCACTGCCTACCAAACATTTAAGCTCTGTCTTGGGGAAAGAAAATTGTATCTGTCACACCATCTTTGAATGGGTGCCAGCCTCTAACTTACTGAATGATGCTTACAGTCCACTGTATGGACAGATAAATATCTGTACCCTCTCACAAAGGTCCTCACTGCTAGAGATTATTCCCATTCAGGAAGAAATCACCCTGCTCAGATTCTTTGCTGATGCTTAGCATCACTCAAGACATCTTTTGTGTAGAAATGCACATCATTAGAAAAGTTAGGATACTTACTGAGTCTGCCCACTGCCCTGGTAATTCATTTTCCCCAGCATAGGGCATCCAAGCTTGGTTCCTATATGCTGTGGGTGGTGTTGGGATAAAATAGCCTGTGAAGCCAGGTCGGTTTGCTGCTGGTATGGCAAACACTGCTGGTACTGTATTACCTATTAAAAAAATGACATCATATACAATTAGCAACCCATCTTTTAAGCTAAAAATTAGAAGATGTTACTTGCGAACTAGATGTTCAAGGTTTTTTCTTTTTTTTTTTTTCCCCCCAGTGAGAACATGATCATCATTGGTTGGATGCAAGACTCCAAGTAGCTGACTACACATCTTTATAACGGCAGAAAATACTGGAGAAAACAAGATTGGCAGTTGTCCACATAGTGATGCACAACCGTTAGATAAAGATATGAAGACTTACTCCTAAGGACTTGGATCCTTGTAATAACGACTCCCCCTAAAACTTCAAATCATTCCAGAAAAAAGGGTTCATTTTCCTTTTACGTTTGTTTCCTTGTATTCAATTTTTAGCTGCTGTTACCATGGGTTTCAGAGGATTGCATCTTTCTTTTCAACAGCAGGCTACAAAGCATTCAGTTTAAATTTATATTTACACTGTTCTAATGTCTCTAGGCACAAGACCTACAAAACTGAGTGATACCTTTAAAAGGCTGTAATCTCAACAACTCCATCATAAAATTTCTATGCTTCCATTAAAAAACAAAGAAAAAAAAAAACAACCACCAAGGCTCTGCCTGCTCAACACATTTCCCAGCAACAGCCTATGACTGCAATGAATTATGCAGCTACCACTTATATAAATATTTCCAAGGAAACTGCTGACATAAAATCTGTTTTCCTGTGTCTTCTTCAAGAGATATGCATAGGGATGTCCAGGAAGTTGTCTGTTAGAATGCCATGATCTTACTTGATGTTAAGTAGGAGAAAACAGCTTTCCCAAGACAAGGTTCAACCAGATCTCTGGATATGGTTATATCTGCTCGTTAAGTCCTTCACAACAGAAGGTACTTCATTTTGCCATTTCTGAGATTACACACAGTATGTAACTAGGCAGTCTAGAAGTCCACCATTTCCTCACATACTTCCACTATTTCTAGAGAGAAACCATCATAATTCCACCTATTTGCCAAATTTAAAGTGCAATCTGCTTGCCTGGTAAGACTTCTTTCCACCAGTGTCTCTTTAGATAGAGATACAAACACCAGCATTTGCATCACTGGTACACTGCAGCCTCATTCCTAAACCCGGAGGAGAAGAAAGCTCTCTACTGTCTTTACCACGTAGCAAACAAAGCACGTGGATGGGATATTTTGAGTACTCAGTAATACACAGCCATGTATTTTAAAGTTTCACAGAGTATAACAAAAATAAATCATTGATGCGAGAGCAGAAAAGCCAGTAAATACAAAAAACACAATAAAAAGACAACTGAGCATCTTCACTGAGGAGTGATTAGCAAGGCTAACTTGTCCAAAGTATTCTTCAGACTTGTACTGAGAAAAAATTGCTGCTCCTGCAGATGACACACAGCTTCTCTTCACCAAAAAAGCTCTTAATTTAACCACAGCAAAATGAGCAGTTATACAAATTGAACACTCAAGAAGCTGAAGTACTGTCTTACCCCAACTCTAACTGCAAAATCATTATTTTAAAGCTGATGTTGATGGGCTGCATGAGGGCAACATTTGGTCATTTCATGCCCAATCAGCATCTGCAGTATAGCCTTTCCACCTACTGATCTGATAAAAATTTATTTTCCAATTAGAACATTAGAAATCCTCATCTGTTACACTTGCAGATTTCTCACAACTCTATCTTCCCCTGCATTAGAGCCATTTAAAGGCTCTCTCCCACACGAGCCTTTCCTCCAGTTAATCCTAGAATAAATCTGGCCGACTCCACAGTGTACACTAAGGTCATTTTGTCTCTTCTGAAATGCACTCTTCAGCGGTAGCACACCATACCTATTTGTAACATACAGCAATAAAACCCCTGCATCACTGGAAATGACAGAAAGCTATATCATGCAGAATGTTGCTGCAGTCAGGACAGTAGAGTTCTTGGCAGCGTGGCCTGCTTTACAGTTCAAAACACTTTTATATGAAAGAGTGGCATCTGCTCCTTTTAGACTCACGTTGAGGAAGGTACTGTGATAAGAATGTGTGCACAGTGGATCCTTCAAACCTACTGTATTTAATTAATTGGCAGCAGATATGCATTTTCACAGCATTATTCTCAGCAGATTTTGAATACAATGCAGATAACTCTCAATTACTTCTGAGAAAGATAAGAAAAATTATTTGCAGATTAGCAGTCATGTCTAATGAATCTGCCGTTTACAAAACTGAAATGACAGTGTAAAATTTTCCTAATCTTGAAAGCTTTTTTCTACAGGTCTTCAAGAAAACATTTTGCCAATGAGAAGTTGCTTCCAGTCTTCTCTGACATTTGCTGGTGACAGCCTCTCTATGCAAGGCCGTATTTGTTTAGACACATGACAATTGCTGTGTGTTCAGAGGTCTGCCAGAAAGCTACCTCTTGCCATTGAGCCCCGTCAATCATATAACTTGCGCTCTTGACAACCAATAGCCTCTGTATCATCTAGACAATCCCCCTTAAAATTTGCACCAGATTTTTGGTGCAGATGAACTCTTCTACTGGACCTTAGTGGCTCAGAGTCCTGGTAGGTAAGCCAGCAGAATGACATACTAGAACAAAGACCACCTCGTGGGGTCTTTTACCTTCAGAAACAACCGTCTCCCTTTCCTTTTGCAGGATGAGCAATACTTTACAATGTAGCTGTTCTGCATTTGCAGAGGCAGTCGTTTACACATCCCCTTCATTTGTACCTGGAGAAATACCCAATTCCTTCTTTCTCTAAATAATCGTGTTCTTACTATTTCTCATCAGCTCATTTACATGCAAAACAAATCACGCTGTTCTCAAGTTGCAAGTTAGGTCTGCAGGTCTATTTCTCACCTGAGTGAAAAGTCGATTGATCAAGCGGGCCTACAGGCATTGGAGCTCTTGAACCAGGTGCATAAGATGCAGGATCGTGATGCTGGGCCTGATCCACCCCACTGGACTCTGGTATTCTCACTTTGCTGCCAATATCTGATGTAGACCTGAGCATTAGAAATGGAAAAAAAAAAAGAAAGAAACATTTAACATCCCAACTATTGGACAGGACAGCTATATTTGCGTCTGTAAGCTACAATATGACAAGCCTGCTAGGATTAAGCTTCCCAGTTTTACTGGATTTTCAAACAAATGCCTATGATACGCAGTACAAAAACCAGAGCTATGCCACAGCTCATCAATACAAGATTATAGAAAACACAGGATGATAGGGTGTCACAAAGTAGTCTAAACTGCACATGGGAAATTCTAGCATCTCATGAAACGATGCGTCCCAGTTGATTTATAGCTTTACTGATTTATATTGATTTATAGCACTATAACATAGTAGTTACAAAACAATATGCCAGAAAAGAACCCGTACTCCGAATATTTGGATGCAGCTAGCAGACACTCAGAGAAGTTTCCTTTCTTCTTAGTATTCTACAGCATTTCTCAGTAGGCTTGCAGTGCCTTTGAATTACAGTTGGAATTCTGCAGTGTACAACAGCACAGCACTGTAGGCTAAATCAGCTCTTGCACCACAGAAGTGTGAAAATACCTTGAATTGCTTTTTATGAAGGAAGAGGCAGTATACACTGAGCTAAGAATCAGGCATTTTACTCATACTTGGCTTTGTAAAGCAAGGTGTTAGATATCTGAAAGCTAGGTGGAAGCCCCCCAGACCCAGGATACTGATAACTTATCAGTATCACATCGCAGGTTATTAGAACAGAGAACAGCAGGGTGCAAGCTATCTGCTGCACATCTGCTACACAATATTTCATTATGTACTGTGTGATTTGGAGGCAAGGATTTCCTAATTTTATTGAAAAAGTTGAGCTAATAGAAGAGAAAATTTGCTGTTATTTCTTTCCTCTTGATGTTAAAATGAAAATAAAAATAGCATGTTTCTAATTCCATGAGTGTTTCTTTATTAACTGGATGGCTCACAAGTGCTTCTTGAGGGTTTGTCTCAGTTCTTACAAAAAACTGTGTTTTTTAGAGTTCATATTGAGAACAAAGTAAAAGCTATCTACCTCCTGAGAGAGGCAACAGCCACAGGACCAGTTCTAGGAGGGACAGGAGGAGGAGGAGATCCCATCACCATCTCAGGAAGCTGAGAAAATCTATAAGCCTGTAGGAGAGAGAAATATTTTCTAAAACACCAAGAGATCCACATTCAAATTAAAAAGTAAATAACCTCAGAAATCAAATACTCGTTTCAAGTGCTGGCCAACTAGAGGCTATTATTCTGTGGCACCACTAGTAATGGAATTTTATTAGAGAATTTACAAAGCTTGGTTGATTTTAGGATATGGAAGAAAACATGAACAAATGAGTTCACAAAGGCAAGGCAGTCTAATTAAAACAGAACTTATTAAACTCTACCTTTGTGACACTTGTCACCTTGCTGGGAAAGTAGATCTGCTACAATTATGTGAGATTCCGCAGATAATTTGGATTCAAAGGAAAAGATCTCTGAATTTTCACTTCATAGCATCACAGAACCCTTAGAGTTGGAAGGGACCCTTAAAGGCCATCTAGTCCAATTCCCCTGCAATGAACATGGACACCACAGCTGGATCAGGTTGCTCACAGCCTGGTCCAGCCTGGTCTTGAAAGTCTCCAAGGATGGGGCATTTTCCAAAAGTAAAACATTTTAACGATTCATAAAACATTCTCAGAGTTTTTTCTGCCTGGTGAAATGGAACTGCCCACAAGCAATGCATTTTTCAACTTTTTTCAGCCCCAGAGAGATTAAAAGAAAACTCTTCACAAAAACCCCAAGCTCTGTACTTTTCTAAAGCAATAACAATTCAAATTGTTTTGAAACAAAGTTCAGAGGAGCATGCAATCAGCTCACCAACTCACAAAACGGAGCATCTTGCTCATAGCTATTCTGGCTTTCATCACTAATGCATGTGAAGGACCAGTGATTGTGTGCTGTGGCCTGTAGGACAAAACGCCCCTTCTAAATTCTTTGGTATGCTGTAAATTAGAGGTCACAATTTGGCTAAATATGCTTAAAGGTAGAGGTGGGGGGTAATCAGTCTCTACAGTATTGACACCTGTATTCTACCTGTTATGCTTTATTTGTTCTTCATTATGCTTTAATGACAACACTTCAGAGAAACAGAGATCAGAAAGAGAGCAAACTTGGGGGAGGCTGTGCAGTACCAAGAGATATGCATTCTGACAAAAACTAGCATCCAAAGTCCAACAGTGAGGCTTTGAACTACACGAGATGATTCTGCTTCAGTCAGAGACTGCCTCAGCAAACAGCAGAGAAAGCTAAAAACATGTTACCACGATGAGTCACCCTCCTCCTGCCTGTTGAAAGAGCCCACAGGATTTACACTATTAGCTCAGACTTAACACCTACATCTAGGTTTGAATTTGGCAATATAAATCCCACACTAAATTTCTAAAACCATTATCATACAGTAATCACCTTTACATATCACACTTTTAGACAGTGTTCCATTATGCTTTTTCTCTGCTGCAAAACTGGAAAACATAAGCTAACAAAAAGCTGACTTTTAATGCCAGCATAGCTAAGGGAAAAGCAATACAAACCAAGCATCTCTCTCCCACCTCTCATCCTTGTCTCTTTTAAAGCAGGGTAGGGCCCCTCAAAGGCATGTCTTTGAAAATCGTTTTTCCTTTCACGCCACCTATGATGTGTCTAAATATTCACTTTCACCATGCTACAACATTATTTGAAGTATTTCCATCTCTAAGTGGGAAAAAACTGAAAATGCAATAGCACATTTCCTAGCCAGGGGTGGGAAATACTGATTTTGATTTTTAACGAAATAAACGTACAGAACAAACAAAATGATATTTGCATCAAAGTTTAATTTACATTTCTAATAACACTGGACTTGAAATGGTCTGCAATGCTTCTTCTGTACCCAAAAAGCTGGCAATGCTGAACTGAACACTTCCTTCTGGCTCCATAACCCTTTCATCCTACATCTTGCCCTCAGCATACATTTGTACTAAGCATGAAACTGTTTTTTCCCTATCTTAAAGGTACAGCATATGTTTCAGAGTGGTTGGTGACTCCAAATGCTACTGAGTACAACAGGGCTGATGGAGAGGAGCAGAGGCAGATATGGGTTTTCTCTTGCGTACTAATGCACATGCTTTGAAATGTAGACATAAAATGAAGCTTTTTAAGATACCACAATGAATGCCTCACAAACTTCCTGCAACTCGCACTGAAAACGTGGAGAGGAATAAAATATGAAGTAGAAAATCCAAGCACTTATTTTGCTGCTTAAACAGGAGATGAACAATTTTGAACGAGTGGCACTGTGTCGCTAACGGCTGGGCAAAGGGAATCCTGTTAAAGTGAAAAATCCTATCAAAAGATTTGCTGTGCCTCACCAAGGGACTGTCCACTCTGGTGGAGAGCAGTCAGTCCTCTGCTGTGCTGAGCTTCCTCCAAAATAGTTATGACAAGGAACTCTAAGCTTTCTAGACTTTCTGTAAGATGTTATGCTGCAGTATTATTTTCCTACATGCAGTAGTATTTTCCTACATGCAACACAAATAGAATAAGAATGTTTAGAGACTACAGAGGCATGTCTGTTGGAGGTTTAGATGAGCCCTTTGGTACTAGACTGACATGATTACAGAAACAAAGCAACTTCACTGAAACTTGTATGCTGCTAGAAAGCCAAGCAAACTAACTTACAAAAGAAGCACTCACATACAAACAAAAAAAACATTAAAAAAGCAAAAACAAGCCAGCGTATATGAAGATGTTGATTTCACAAGAAATTTGCCTAATTTTGTTCTTCAAAATGAAGGTGCTGAAGATTTTTGCAAATTTGAACAGCAATAGTTTTGCTTTTCTCAAAAAAAAAAAAAAAAAAACTTTTATCTAGGAGCATTCTGAAAAGATTCCAAACCCTGTTTTGTCCAAAAATGAGATCTTGTGTAATATGGAGTCGACAACAATTCCTGTTAAATTAATCACATTTCAAATTCAGATAGCACAAGTATCAGACTGCAGACCTCACACCACCCTTCCAGAGAGAAACGTCAGTGAGTCTTTTTTTGGCTAAAAGACTGAGAATCTTAAAAGCAAACCAGTGCAGTAATAAACAGCTGAGCAAAAAAGCTGTAAGAGTTTGGGTCCAGGAGACATATGCTTCAATCTTATTATTTATGCTATATAAAAGTAGAGAATGCAAGTGTTAGAAATCTTATTCAGCACTTGTATCATCTACGAAACATCTCTGCAATAAATGCTGGCTTAAGTGCACTCAAATTACTAGAAAGACTGTGCGAGCTCCTAAAAGGTTGAGTGTAACGTACGGGCCATGAAGGCCCACGTCTCAGAAGAGAATGATGGGCTGAAGATCCTCATGCTTATATTGTACTTAGAAACCCACAAATAAAGCCAATGTCTGCATTTGTTCCATCTAACAAGGAAAATCTTAAATCCAAATTTCCAATCATAACGGACACCTTCAGTACACCAGCCACTTTACAGCTGCTCCACGGCCAGCCCTGCTGTACTCTGGCCCAATCAACTCTCTGGTGCCTCCCTTTTCAGCATCTGTCAGGATTACCAAACAGAGGTATCACGGGCAGGCAAACAGGTACTAAAACATCGAGAGCAGCAATTCTTGCATATTTTTCCTGCACACATCACTCTGCACGTACACTGTAAGTGGGTTTTTCTAATTGAAATCCTCCTTCCCCAATTGAGAACAAACAAGTAAACATTTCAGTTAAAGTACGACTTACATCTCAGAAACAGATTGGCAAAAAACTATGAACTAACAACCTCTATCCAAGCACCATTAGCCTGCGACTATCCTACCCCATGGCAACCAGTTAAAATGTAAGTGTCTTCAGGGAAGTGCTTAACATTATCTTCAAGCCCCCAGAAAGATAACCAAGTACTTTAAAGCCCAGAAAACAAGTAGACGATTGAGTTTGAAAATAGAGAAGCAATCACCAAAAAAGTATGGCAATTACATTTTCTTAAATCTCACTCCATATAATGATTTTCATTTCCTTTCAAAAAGTCTTTCTCAAGTGTCAAAGTAATTTGGATAGCTATTAACTGTCTCTTGAGCTTCTAATCGAATTCTAGCCATAAAATCCCATTATATGCCATATATGAAGTTCACTGCGGTAGTTTCAAAGGGCCAAAAATATCCCTTAGCATGATTTAAAATAGCACCAGCGTGAGCCTCCGCAGGCAGTGCCACTGACTTTCACTTATGTTTAGAATAGTTCAGAAGCAGCATCCTCTAATGTACTTTTTACTGTCATGAGAAGTCACAGTAACAGTTATTTTAAAGCGAGGACACTTTTTCTGCTTTATTCTCTTCTTCTAGGCGTTTTAGGGGACTCAATTTGAAATGCATTATTTCAAAACAAAACAAATCATTTCTGACCCCTAAAATGCATTGAAATGAACAGCGTAAATTTAATGCAGCTTCACACCCCCCCTCCCCCCCCCCCCCCCACTGAGATGGATAGATACAGCTTCAGAGTAACAGTACCTTGGAATCCAGAGGTAGCTTGACCTACCAAGGATGCCCACAGCACTACTGCTATTGCTGTCTATGTATCTACAAAATATTCATTATTTCTGTGAGATAAGAAATTGTTAGTTGCAAATTGATGCGAGCAAGTGAAGCATCAAGAATGACCTACATAAGGTCAGCCGAGAAACCTGTGGCACTGAGCTATTTCTTAGTCCCACACCAACAGATATAACTGTAAGGCTGCCAATAGCAGCCCACATTTCAGGTCATGCAGATTTTGCATCGCGCTTGGTTCCCTGGCTTGGGCTGATGTTTCTCACTGGTGGAATTTGTGCAGAAGCGTTGGATGTTTCATGCCCAGGTGTTTTTTTTAAAAAAAAAAAAAAAAAAAACATTGCTTCCAAATATGCATTCAATCAATAGGAGACATGCAGACCAGTTCTTTATCCGTTGAACAGTCTAGAGCTTAGTGCAGCCTATTCTTTCAAGCAAAACATAAATAAGGTCACCTTGCTGCTAAAACAGATTCTAAGAGTCTTCATGCGAGATATGGGCATGTGTAAAGACAGAGAAACATGCCCCACTACACAAACTTATTTACTGTAAACATGGCTTTATGCTCGGTTTTTAAGCATGAAAATGGGACTCCATCTTAAAAAGAAAAAAAAAGTTCTTAGAATGGAAATATCTTTATGGTATTAAAGCGTACTGAAGAGAAGTTTCACTTACTGGTCTTGGTAGACTGTACTGATACATTTCTGGTCTGTATGTGGGCACCCACTGCACACCCGCTCTAGGTCGGGTCATGGTACCAGGAGCGCTGGTCACCACCTCTGAATAGGGCAAGTGTGGTGCGGAGCTGTAGGCCTCCTGCCTGCTCTGTCCTCCGTGACCTGCAGAGGCCAGGCTGAAAGCCTCTTCCAAGAGCATATGCATCTGTTGTCGAACCTCATCAATGGAGGGCTGAGAGCTTAAAGTTGAGGTCTCTGAGTGGCCTTTGGCCTGACGGGACCTGGTGTAGTTCCGAGGTTCAGTGACACGGTCAACATTTGTTTCTTCTATAATTTCAGGCTCAGTCTGTTGGATGGAGTAAAAGTATGTACACATAAAAGCTTTACAAGACAGCATTTCTGCCGCTTCACACAAAACATTCTCGAACACTGATTTAACGTATGCAATGTCAAGACTTGTTACAGTATAGACACATGACAAGAATTTGAAAGAAATTACATCATGCAGGCAAGGATAATAGCCAGGGATTCAAAGACTCTTTCACATCCTTCATTGTTTGCAGCAAAAACTATCAGAGACGCTCTTGTAGCATATTAAATTGTTAAGGATTCACTTAAAAACAATGAGAATTAATGTTTAAATTCTTTTCTTAGTTGTTAGTATCAATGGGATACAACTGTACCAGGAGTACAGATCCCTAAATGGCACCATTACTACGAAGGACTGCATACAAGGGACTGCTTGTTTCAGCTACATGGACTGAGGTTCTTCTGTTTACTCACATACATTAAAGTTGCAGAAGATCTAAGGTTTAGGAGTTCTCCTGAGATTTCCTAACCTCCCCCTGTGCTTCCCCTCCTCAGGGAGCTGCAGAGAGCAAGGAGGTTGCCTCCTGGCCTCCTCTCTTCCAGACTGGGCAACCCCCAGTGCCTCGGCCCCTCTATTGAGATACTCCCAGGGTCCCTTCTAGGATAATAACTGCAACCAAAGAAAAGCCTCTGGAATTGTACTGTCCAACTGGATGATTAATAGCCATGCTTCTTCTGTTTCATTATAACCGTAAAAATATCAGCGAAAGGAATCCCACAAGAGACCTATTGGTACCCAGTGTTGAAATAAATCAGGCTTTCTGGTACAACCCCTTGGTGAAGCCACTACAACTCTCCTTGATTCTGTCCAGTAGAAGAATATAATGTTTAAAATAAATCATATGAATAACAGATTTTTAGTCATTGTCGACATTAAGCCAGCTTTGACTTATCAACTTAAAACTGGCCCTAAGATTTGGGAGGAGACCGGTGACACTTCTGCTCAAGTTTTAAAATTTATTTCTATTTCCTCATAGCACTTTCTATGCTATTTTCTCTTTCATCAATTGAAAGACGTAAGTACTGTAGATAGACACCACTATATGTTAACATTGACATTAGACATATTTAAAAGCCATTCAGGCACATTTATTATGTAATATTAGAATCACACCAAGAAGGAAAAGCAAGCCCTGTACAGATGTGGAGTTTATCCATTTCTAGCAGGATTCTGCTGCTGCAACAGTACCATGAAATCACTGTATCATGAACTTCTTCATGTGAACACCAATTCAAAGCTTTTTGAGCATTTGCATTACTGTAACTGTATCAATAAAGTTAGATGAGTACATTCTTTTTCATATTCTTAGGTTTTTATAATGAGGTCATTTTCTTCCCTTTACACAAAAAAAATGCCTTTTTTTTTTTCTGCCCTAGCATAAAGCTCATTAGCAGCTCAAAGGTTCTAGACTCTTTCATTACAGCATTTGCTCTACTCATAATTGTCTTTGAAGATCTCAGAAGTAATAAACATGTTCAAGTTTCCTTTGCGTTTTAGGTGAAGATGACCATCCCCAAACCCTGGTTGGATTTATTAAAATTAGAAGATAGGTATCCTTCAACAATAACCCATTGATAAAAAGGTGCTATAAAACTAAACACTGAGAATACTGAGAATACCAAACAGTAGTGTGCATAAAAAGCTACACATTCTGTACAGACAGGTAGGTGATTACTGACCTTATATTCTGATCATTACTATTATTGGGAATAAAATATTTTAGACAACTGTGACTGAAATAATAGATATCTTTATCTGAGGGAAACTATTTACAAAATATTAAATAAAAAAAAAATCAAATAAAACATTAGCATGGAGTGAGAGATTTTCGAGCTCTTATTTTCCTATTTACAGAGCAGGGCAAAATTGGGCAGATCACCCAAAAACCATTGTGATTTTGTCGTGCGTGTCGATCTAACCGTTCTCAAGCTTTCTTCAAGATTCTAGGGAAACAATCTATGTTATTTAAAAACTAAACAAAAACCCCCACAAGCAACCACCACCATTTGTCATGGCTGGGAAGCTAAAACACCACGTATCCTAGGCAGGCTGGTAACAGCTCAAAAAATAAAAAGCAATTTGTTACTCTTCAAAAATCTCACGACTTGAAGGTAACGCAGAGTATCCGCTTCATGAATTTCCTCATTTGGAATGGCTTATCAAACACAACTTCCATGCTAAGTTGGTGAAATTGATGTTAAATCATGTAGTAGAAGGAGAAGGTTAAAAGAGTGGATCCTTTAAAACAGCAAAGCAGATGTCAAAACACTGTACAAGATGTTATTAGGTAAAAAAGAAAGGACACGAGGTCCAGCATACAAAGCAGCCCTAATTCATAAACGCATTATAGCATTACTGAGCTTTTTAACACCTCTTCTCAGTGGACCGCCACATAGCCCTAACAGCTGAAGAAACTAATCCAATAAAATAATTCCTCTGGGCCAATACCTCAGCTCTAAACATCTGAAGTACTTACACCCATCTCCAGAGCTCAGACTTACAGTGGTGTTTTGAAGCACCACGATGGGATCAACATGGATTCCATGCATTAACGCAGATTTAAGCGCCAGCTTGTGCCTGGGAGAGCAAGCCTGTCAAAAGCTTGGCAAAGCACCAAGGTAGCTCAAATAGGAGGGAGGGAGATCAGCCCACGCTGCAAGCAGAGGCTGGAGAACTAGATTTCAACATCCTGTTCCATTTTCCCATGGCATTTTTCTGCTTTCAGACAAAAATACTTCCACTGTTCGAAGAGGTGCACTGCAGTGAATCTGCAGCACATCGGTCAAAGAGAATTTTATGTAACTTATGAGTTAAAAAAAAAAAAAAAAAAAAAGACTACACCAGGGACAATTCCCTCTGCCACAGTGCAGAAAGAAAAGCAAGGGAATCTTGTGTGAGATATGCTGTTGTCAGAGAATGTAACTATGCTGAGGAGATCATGAGCCTGCACGAGCTCATTATACCACTTGCAGGGCTTTTAAAAATTTTACTTGAAAATCTTTTCTATGCAATTTACACAACATATCCAAGTGTATTTCTAACATACACTTGGATACATATATGATATGCTCATTTTGCACTATTGGCAGGGGGCCATGTGTGCTGCTAGAGTGCTTTTAACATTCATTTCAGAAAGATTTTACCTATGAGAAACTACGTTTTAGTAGAATAAAAAAATTCCAGGCTCTTCTTGAAACACCTGATTTTCAGAATACAGAGGAAAGTCCAGCTTGATGATGAACTATTAAGAAAGTTAACACATAAGCAGGGCAAACACAAAAACCTTTCTTTTTTTGCAAAATGTAGGCTGTTTTAAGTGCAACAGGGTGGTTCTTTGCATTTCTTTCATTTTCTCTCTTTTTTATTTTTATTTTTTTTTGCAAGTTAGTGCAATATATTCTTATGCCTCAGAAAGCAGTGAGGCAGTCATTCCAATTACACGGCACAGCCTGACTCATACAATCTGATGGGAAGTGTCAACATGCAGGAAATGATTTTCAGAAACTCAAAAGCTGACTTCCAAAATCACTATCCGCCCCACTTAATTCTGTAAAATAAACTTTCCTGAACACATTCCTCGACCTTGATAAATTCATTCACCTTGCTAAAAATACATCCCTGCCAGCAGACAGTTAACAATTAACCAAGTTGGATGAACAATCACCAGATTAACTTTCTCATTTTCCAGAAATGCTTAGATCTTCTACAGGAATCGATCTTCAGGGTTGGCTGTGCTACAGCTTTCTGTATACGTAATGGACTGAAAAACTCTACTTTACCTTAAGAGTATGGGCTTTTTTCATCTTCAGTTTGGGTGCATGCTGTGTCAACTTAGACCCAGTGTATGTTCACCTTGCACAAAACAACTACCCTAAACTTATGCTGGCTGTGTGAGTTCCTTGGACCATAAACCAGTGCAGAATCTACTCTGCCTGGTTTTAACATTTAAATATTCAAAATTCTCCCAGTTCTGAGATAGTAAGAGGAGAACAAGAATGTGGCTATTTCCTAGGGGTTTTCCACAAACCACTGACATCTGGACTTCAGTGCAATTCCTAGAAGTTGGTTGTCCATTCTTCTGAATCAAGAGAGCAGCATAAGGGGTAAAGAAAAAATAGGATTTTAATTACATTGAAAAGATATTGGTATCCTGCAAGCAGTTGCATACTTGAAAGAACTATCTAAATTCAAAAATCAGTATTTTTGTAATAATGTTCCGAGAGCATTTTGTTTCTATTTCAGACAACAAAATGATGTAAAGTATAAAGTATGTTCAGCAGTCTGTGCTCAGAATATCCTGAGCCTCTTTCAGGATGCTGAGTGCACATAACGTCCTGTAAGGTCAAGCACCCGAGGACACTCTGGCTTGGAGCTTATCAACAGTTTTCCATTTTCAGGAATGAACTAAGTCTTGGCTGAGCCAATTTCACAGGATACACCTGATGCACTTACATCATATCCACTGTTACGGATTCCACGCCTGGGTCTTTCTCGAGTCACTAGGAGATCCATCTCAGTTTCTCCTGGGCTAGGACTGTTCAAAGACTGCCGGCTTCTGTATATGGAGTTCTTCATCTGTTGCCTATAAGACATCAGACAACAAAACAGTAAAATTAACAGAATATAAACAAACAAAAATTATTTTGTCATCATAAAGATCATAAAGAAAATGTCACTTTATTATAGGAGGTATATGGAACTCCCAGAAATCAACTGTAATTTAGAGAGATTGGAAATTTTGCTTGCTAGTAAAGAAAGTAAAATTAAGATACAGGCACCATATGGTAGAGTTTATCAATTAAAATACGTCCCTAGAAGATATCAGAACCCTTTCAGTGTTAGCTGGTATGACTTTATTTTTTAAATTTAAGTAGGTGCTGTTCCTAAAAAAAGTAACACCTTTCACACACCCAGATGGGGGGCAGAGATTTCGGTGACAAATTGTGAGCAGTGAGAAAGAAGTGGAACAATGTTCCATTGAAACAAACATCCAGCAAAGTGTACGAGAAAACAGGAGTGGGAGGAAACTGCTTGCAAGATGCTACATCAATATTTCTTATAACAAAACCAGGATAGATTCACAAAGAAAAATTAAAAACTGCTACATTTACAGAGATTCTAGTGACCAGCTCTTAGAAATTCTCTGGGGCATCTTGGAGATAAAAGTCTTGAGGTTAAGGTCAACAGGCAGAAAGAGAGTTACAAAAGACCCAGAGAGACTGACGTTTACACAAATCAGGAGGGATAAAGCATAGGCCAAAAAAAAGAAATCAAACTCAACAGCAACCAAGCTTTATATTTCTCATTAAACTAAGTAAATCAGATATGGCAATTTTTATGTTCCTGCATTGAAGGTCTCAAATTCTGTACAAGATTTATAACAGGCACATTAATACTTGGTTGATGCAGTTGTGATATCTTATAAGGGTTTCAGGTACACAACTCTCTTACATATGCAGATTCTTGACCTGATTACAAACTATTAAGGAAAAACTCAGAATAGGAGGTATAATCAGAAACATCTTTAAAAAAAACTGCCTGGAGACTGCCAATTAGCTCATTTATAAAAGCTTTACTAATGAGAAAGGAGGTATGAACACTAACAACTAGCATTCAAATGGGTTAGCGAATGCCTCCTGGGAGCACAACTGAAACATTTTATAACATTAATTTTAACATGCAGAAAACTCAAAAGAACCAAGAGCACAAAAAAATGTTTGTTCTTGAACAAATCAAACTATTAAGTGGCGATTTGTTGTAAATCACTTTTCAACAGCATTTCAAACAAAACCAAATTGCAGAAGTGATCTTGAATAATGCAATCAGCTGCACCTGTCTTATCCACTGTATTTCGGAAATGTTGGAATAACATTATTTAAGCCAGTGGAATACACACAAAAGAGGGAAAAAAGAAAAGGAAAACAGACTTTTCCCTAGAAATTTTGAAATCTTTGACTAACTTCTTAATGATTTAAAAGAAAACATTTTAAAATAGATGCTTATGTGCTGTAACAATAGCCATCGAAACAGTTATACAAAGCAGGAAACACTGTGAATCCAGTATTTCGATTTCACCCTAATCTTGATAGCTTTAAAAGAGTTTTTATTTCATTACGGAAACACAATTGTGTTGATTCATTCAGCAGTAACTTAAGCCACATTACCTTCAAGTTTTATTCAAGGTTTTCCTCTAGAAGTATGTTGTTTTAGTCATCATACTTTTACTTGCAAACTGAAGGCAAAAATGCTGCAATGTGTGCGTTAGCACATCCAGTTTTAATACAGACTTCAGAACACATCTGTTGGCAAGAAGTTCTTAAACATCTGCAACATCTGTAACGTTCTCAAAATGCTTAGCATCTTTATAGAGAAATGTGCCATAAGTGGTTCCTATTTCTCACTACGTACAGATACAGACTATATATTCAACAAGTAAATCCAGTCTCTTACGGTTCAGCCACAGAAGGGAATCATTTCTCTACAGTAGTGCACCTGCCTTCAAGCAGTTTCTATGATGCCAGTAATTGCAATCTCAAATAGACTATGACAGATCTACACAGCACATTAGAAAGCACACAGGGAAAAAAAAAGCGTTTGTAAACCTTTCAGCACATTGGCATACGAGCAAGCAAGCATTTGTATATTTAACAAAGAGCAGACGGTTAGCATTAAAGCTTCATGTGCAGTAGTTTAATCATTTCCCAGGTGCCACAGCATAAACATCCAAAGTAATGCCTAAGTCCTTCACTATATGTGCACCACAGCCATATCAGAATACTTATTTTTTTCATTTGCATCTCATGACAGACCGCAGACAGAGCGGGACTCCTGCATGTTAAGGGTTCAGTGTATTAACTTTCCATTGCTTTTGAAGCAGCTTATTGCCTACTCACTAGAAAGCAGCACAAGAAATTCATGCCTGAGGCCTTCCAGCAAGGATGTAAAACACCTTGTTAAGCCACCACCTTTATTCTCTATTGGACCGTGCAACACTGTCACCAGTCCATCAAGGGCTGCCATTTGACTCTACGCCTAAGAAAGTACACCTGATTGCAGTTGTTGCTCACATTCTGGATCAAAACTGCTTTTATAATTATCATTACAGTCTTTTTCATCTAAAAACACTGTTTTTCCACAGGAAAACTTTGGACTGAACTTTCCAGGAGATCCAAGACCATACCTCAAGGCAAAAGTACCATTTCCAGAGCAAATGTACTTTAATTTCCTCTTATAGATCAACTACTGCTAGTCCCCATTCACAGCAAGAATCAGAGCCTTTGTGATAAGAGGTGTAATGGCACACACGCTCTTTAGTAAGTCTTCCCCTCTTGCATTTTCATCACCCCTAAGAAGGAGGAAACTGAATACTACGCCATCCCTCTCTTGGGCTACACTGGCTAGGACTGGTGTCATCTCCTCCTTTGAATGTGTCAACTTGTGTATCAAGGAGCATCCAGCAGCAGAGCAGGTCCATCCGCCTACGCAGGCAGAGTTGGCACTTACCTCACCCTCTCATTTTTAAAGCAAGGAGACAAATATTGCTATGTTACTTTCAAAAGACAACAAAGCATTAACCAAACCACAGTATTGTTACATAACCTGCTAGCTTCATGTTACAGGTAATTCACCTGAATTGACTCTCTCTCTGTTTAGGACACAGGAAGGCACATGCACATTCTTGTGGATATTCCTGCAGGATTTACTGAATATGCAGGCACTGTAGAGGCTGCAATCCCCTATGCCTACAGCAATAGCTACATTCGGATAAAGATAGTACCAAAATAATAACATCACTGAACTTCGGAAAATAATTCACATGCTAACTTCCTGGCTTAAGTCTACTCTCCGTATTTACGAATAAAAATTATACTGCTTTTTTCATTTACTTGGAAAATGACAGAAAAACTTGGAACAGTCCCTTCCCATATTTTCTTTGCCTTTCAATTTACTTCTTTTTAATCACACGCCATTTTTATCAGATTACGTGCCTTCATAAATAATCACGGGCTATGTCGATTTTCTTCATGAAGTGGGAGGGATCAATCAGCAAACATTTGCCTGCTTAAGAACAGACCTTCCAATTCCTCAAAACCCCTGGACAGCAAGTTTTGTCCCAGAGGAAGAGCTGCATATAAAAATTCTCACCTGTTCTTAGGCTCAGCAAACGGAGATGAAACATCTGGATCGGGATCCAAAATGTGGTCAATTTCTTTCTGGTTTTTCTCATACATCCTTTTTCTGTCTGTCAACCCCTTGCTGTTGTCAACCTGTGGGAAATCATAGTACCCCTTCCTCTTGGCTTTCAAACGCAGCTTGTTGCGGTAATGCTCTATATCGGACTTCTGCTTCAAAGCCTTGTTCACCTAAAAGGCAAAAAGATGTTTCGAGGACTGTGCTGGGCTGACTGCTTCCAAACAGTACTCTTAGAGCATGTTTGATGCGCTTCATGTGTCATTTTACAGAGTGCTTTCTGTACCACACCGTGCCATCTGTAAGCAGCGAGGAACTGCAAGTGAACAGAGTTGCTGCATTTTTTATGGTTTGGCAGATGGTTAAATAATTTTAGCCTAAAATCTATGTACCATCTAAACAGTGACTCAGATACACCCACCGAAGAAAAACACTGATTATGTTAGTCAGTTGCTGTGACCCAAAGCAGTACTTGCTTCTGGAGACACTGGGAAGAAGTCACTAATGAAAATTACTGCAGGGTCCAGGAAGTACTGAGCCAGCACCTCTGGCTAAAGAAAACCACAAATAATTCATCGCTGATGGCTGGGGAAGTATTTTGGTGAGATGTCATCATAGGCTCATGTACGGTTATCTCAGAAATTTGTTCTGGGACCCTACCAGAAATAAAACCCTAAAATAAACTAGGTATCTTGTCTGACCTGGTGCATGTCACATTCCTATGGACACTTCTAAGTATTAAAAAAAATCATAATAATCTCCTGCTTCACATTGTTGGTTAGGGGAAAGGTAGTAATTTGCTTGGGATTTGCTCATTTCAGAGGCAGTTCTACATTCCTCTCACAATTTCCAAAATATGTATGTACAGAAAAGTGCATAGAAACTAGGAACATCATTCTGTTGGCTTATATAAATGATGAATTCTAGATAAGCCTTTCCCTGCGTTTAGAAATTGCATGGCACATCAGGGCTTAAAATACAAGCATGAAATAGACCATGACACACTGCTTAATCCAGGCCCACATGGGAAAGCCATGACACCGTCTGTTACTGCGTTTCTGGTGGCAGCACACAGAACAGCAGCAGAGAGATTCACGCTGATCTCTGAATAGCTGTTGCAGTGCAAGTTTGCAAACAAGAAACCTCTCAGGCTTGTACATCCTCTTTAAGAACTCTATGTAGCATCATAGAATAGTTTGGGTTGGAAGAGACCTTTAAGATCATCTAATTCTAAACCCCCCCATATGAACCTCAGTCCTTTGTGAACGTATTTCTCAAAAAAAGACCTACATAATCTCAATACACAAGTATAGGAGTCAAAGCATGGTTTTTAGTCAGCATCTCAATCTTTGCCATTCCACCTTGTTCCCAGGAAACAGCTGTGCCCTTTGTGCACAGGCTGGAATGCAGACTGAGCAAAGCCATGGTCCTGCTCTATGCCTTCTCACTTTGAATGAGAAGTACTGCTCAGTATAGAAAGGGTAGATTGGGATCCAGATCTACAGTCTCCAAGTTTACCTACAAAATTCACACGGAGAAAGACCTTGATCTCTCTGCTCTTATTACTTGTTCTCTTAAAATGAATATGATAAAATGGAAAGATATTAAGTTAAGAACATAGAAAGTTGCCTCTTCCAAGGTCACATACATTCACATACGCAATAAGGAAACAGATTTAAATTCTTTGACCTTGGAGCCCACAGTGGTACCTGGAGCTTTATACGGAATCAGAGAGAAAAGTTCCTACTAATCCCCAACTCCAATAGGCTTAAGATGATGCCACCTCTGGATAGAGCCAAGGAAATAGCTGCAGACATTATCAGATGGTCCTTACCTCTCCATTAATGATGGCAGATTCCTGACTTCTATCTGATGCAGCATGAACAGCAGGTAGTGCCACAGGTTTGATAGCAATCAGCTGTACAGATCCAGAAGAGGTGTCAAAGGGGTCAATGGCAGATTTGGCAATGTTATCAAAGAGAATGCCTCCTTCCTCTTCATCACTGATGGGTACTAAAGCACATCAAACATTCAGCATAAAGAGATACTTTTACTGCATTTTAAAGGTAAAATTCAATGAGTGCATGCTTAGAATTAATAATATGCTTAGAACACTTCAAGAGCAGGTCTAGGAGACTTTCACACTGAAAAAAAATCCCATTAGATTATAGATGGCATTCAGCATTCCAAGAATAATATAGCATTCCCCCAAAAAAGTTGATTTCCAATATGCACTAATAAGCTGAAAAGAAAACAAGAAGAATAGCAAAGAAAATGCTATGAAAAAGGCAACTAAACTCAAAAGTACCTTTTCTTACATTTCACATGGAAAAGACGTTACACCCACATCAAAGAAGCTGCCATGTGCTAAGGGTCTGTAGCTATTCCTGATCTAAACAGACATTTATTTTTCAGTGTCTTACAGTGTAAAAACATGATGTTCTCAAAATCTACTGACTTTAGCGAAAGGTATTAATTTAAAAAATAACATCTGTTAAAATGAAAACACAAATGTTGCATGTTAAGACATGCTTAAGAAACTAAGAGCATCCAAGTACTCTTTTTCACTTCACAAAGAAGTACCTCCAATGGCTGTAAAGGTAAGGCATCAGAATTTGTTGAGAGATAGGAGATTTGGAAATCTTCAAACTTAAATGCCACAGTGAAACACCTTTATTTTTATGTAACTTTCACATACAATCAGGCTCCTTCAACTCCAAATTTCATTTGTGAAGCTGCGCTACTTTGTCAGCTGTTGAATCTTAAACCTAACTTTATCTTCCTTTTGGAATAAAAGATTGACTCTAAAACACAAGCACAAATTCTACAAAGGGATTCTTGCAAACATTTTTGAATAATTGTGCTATTGAAGGGAAGAATGTTTGCTCCCTATCTTAAGTGACAGGAGCAGAGATCCTCTGCTAAAGAACAAAGTGGTCTGCTCTAAATTTATTTCCTCTGAAATTACACTCTGTTTTAATATTTAATCACTGCAAAAATTACAATGGACTTGTATAAGCTCAACAGTTAAGACAGTCAATGATTTTTGTTAAAAAAAAAAAAAAAAAAGATTTGACAGTGGTAATAAAATATGAACCCAGTGAGTAAGCTTATTATCCTTCTGTGCATTCAGCATAGACTGGAGCTGACACTACTTAATCTTTTGAGAACTATATGGGTGACATCACTGTATCATTAAATACTGTCCTTCTAGCTTCACAGAACTGTCCAAATACGATAGAGAGTCTTTAGCCTGCCTCAAATCCCCCGTCCATCCCAGGGTTGTTCAAAGTCCGAATCTGAATGCTTGCAGAAGTGAGCACACCACAAGCCTGACTCGCTGGAATTAAATAGCCAGGCTCCCACTGACGGCCATGCTTCAGGATCTCATAGAAGCAAAATCTGATGAACAAAGAGCTAAGTGCCTATCACAGGCAGCACCTCAATAGGAAAGCATTTACATCACAATGATTATAAAAGGAAAGCACACATTCTTCCCTCTGGGTATTTCAAATACGCTCAGTTATCACAGAAGCTGCCTGATGCAGTTCTGGTTTGGCTTTTTTTTCCCCCTGTAATTCACTACAGAAGCTTCCATGCTACCCTAATGAGCTACCTCATTGGTGTCAGGGCCTAAAAGAGGTGATGGCTATCTTAATTATATCCTGCATGAGCAAAGGTGGTCTCTCCCAACAATTCAAGTGAGCTTGGATAGCATCCCACCTGTGGTTCACGTACCAAGAAGTTGTGTAATCACTTCTCCTTTGCTACTGCCTCTGTGTTTGCCTGAACCAGGCATAGCAAAAAAGGTGGTTAAGCATCAACTTATGAAATCTGACTCTCTTCAAACATTTTCTGCATATCTTACTTCACACAGAAAGCATCAAGAAGTGCAGCTGGTTGCACCCCAATGTTTCACAAGGACTCGGCTTGCCAAGGACCAGCTGTGATCAGGCACCCACAGAGCATGGCTAGCTACCAATTTATGGGTTGCCTCCTCAGACCTCATTTCAGGATCAGAAGCCTGCATGTTTACCTAATCAGAGCTCCTCCAGTCCTAAGATACATTAAAAAAAAAAAATTAAGGTAGAGAATCCTTAATAACGTATGGCAACCCTTTCTGATGTGGTGAATGAATGCAGAAGGCACAAGGGTCAGCCTTCTCATTTCTGAGTACAGCTCCTGCATCTAGCATAGCGTCATTTGCAAGGAAATAATAAGTAAGTGGAACTAGAAATTGGAAGTGGAATTGGAATTCCACCTTAGCTTAGCATTTGTTCATTAAATGGTATTTACGATATAAAAGTATTTTTTCAATTGCCCTTTTTTCACTGAAGAGCAATAAAGAGCCCAAGATCCACAGTTACCAGCGTGTTGCTGCAGTTCAGATTGGCAGTGAACCATAAGCAAACGCACTGGGAATTTCAATACTTGCTCCTATCTGTCTCCTTCAGAGAGAATTTCACAGCAAGTTTGACAGGACTGAACCACAGCCACCCCTAACTTCAACGAATCAAAAAGGAAGCTCACAGAGAAGTGGAAGTCCTTCAGTGTTTGCTCCTGATGTGCACTCCTGCCAGGGTAATTCCAGCCCTCTCAATGCTTCAGCTAGGTGAGCTGGATGGTCACAGGAAATTTTAGGAAACCACACAGGTGTTCTTGCTCCCTTGCTTATTATAATTAGCAAACTTGCTTATTATATTTAGCAATACGTAATTAAAGCAATGCTTTTGATTTCTTTTCTTAAACAGATGCACACAAGCATTTATAAGGCTTCACTGCTCCTCCAACTCTTGCTTGTACTGTGTGCATGCATATATTGCAAGACTCAAAAGTTCAGTGGAACAAAGTGGAAAAAAAACCACCTATTTAATCACCTACTTAATAGTAATGCACCTTCTTTGAAACATCTTGTGCTAGATATTTCATGCCACGTGATTCATTGAGACTGAATTACCCTACTTTATCTTTCTTTGACTGAAGTACATTAAGATTTATCCAAAGCAATCATTTAGTCATGTTGAGGAATTGCAGTGAGGATCACTGTGGCCCTGGGTTTTTGGCCATGACTGGAAGTTTATCTACACACCACTAGCTGTTAGTATACAAGATTTGCTAGATAAACGCTGCTTAAGACATTCTAGCCTTACCTTTCAGGGCAATTCTACATAGCTTTCAGAAGGCAATGCCAGCAGGTGGTGCTACCCACTTGTACCACTGGTGCTCCAGTGGTGGAGGAGCATCTGAGAGGATAGCTCTGCATGTTTGAAAATTCATGTAGGATATTCTGCTGTTAGTGTTATTAACTTATATAAGAAAAAAAAGAAATGGCCTGCGTCAGACTAAGATTCCCAAAGATGCACTGCCTGTCTTTCTCAGAAGCAAAAATTTCACAGATTCTGAAATCCCCAGAAAAAAGAATGGCATCTTCAGAGGAGAAACATGGAAATCAGCAGCTGGGAAACATCTGCACAAGCAGGCAGAATGCTCTGCCTTTTCTTAGGTCTTTCAGAGAAGCCTTAAAATTTACTTTGGATAAAGCAAACGTGAAGATCATGACCATGTGTACAACATGCAATCAATTCGGAGTAATGGAAGGACATAAAACAATAAGAAAACAAATGGAGTATATTCAATGAAGACCTTAAATTTGACAGAGAGAATGATGTCACAGATCTGAAAAGCTACCTCATTAGGAAAAAGTCTGCATTGGAGTATTTCAAGCAGAAACCCTGGCTACTTCATGAAAATTACATTAGTAGCAGGGAAATTTTCATTTTAGAGTAAATCTCACTATTTGGGAAAAAAGTTAGAAATTTTTAAAGTCATTCTCCATGTCAACTGACTGTCTCCAAAATGATAGAAACCAGAGATTTTAGCAGTAAAGCAGTGTTCGCTGCTGGAGGAGTTTATATGACACGTTTCCTAAATTAGTCCTGAACCTATTCAGGACTGAAATTCTTCTCTCTAAGACATTGCAGTATAACAGTACATTTTTGCACACACGTACACCTCATTTCCAACACTTCCCCAGCAGTCAGACAGTACGATTCTAAGCCTTTCATAAACACCATAAATATTAAACTTTGAGGAAAAACAAACAAACAAACCCACCCCTTGTAGACTAAGAATAATAAAGCTCAATAATTTCTCCTGGATGTTAATTTTCTGATGTGGAAAGTCTTCTAAACACCAGGCCATATGTTTTAGGTATTGCAGTCCCACAGTCACACAGGATGTCTACTCTTCTATTCCCTGCTTGCATTGTTGAGCTTCTATGAATCTATTTTGACCTATAATCAACAACAAGGATTTCCACCTCTAAACAAATTTGTCCCATTTATTTCAACTTCAAATTCTTCCACAGTGTGTATTTCATAATGTTTGTACAGAATCCAGACTCATTACTTGGCTGGCATTTCTATAGCACCATCATAAGCATGCTTAATAACTAAAACAACTGACAATGTTGATGACAATAGAAATAAGTCAGATAGGGAAGGCATGCGCACTTACATCAGAAGACCATTCTTCAATAAAGTGATGCTCTACAAGCTTTAAAGCTCTGCAGAAATAATTTTCCACATGGACAACAAAGCCATGGATTTGCTTTCTTCAGTGCTGGCTTTTAGTAAAAGAGCATAACCATTCAGACTGCCACTGAATCTGATGGCATGAGCACCTACACACTCTGAACATCGTTCCTTGGATGAAAAATGCTGTCAGATTCAATTAAGTGGCAAAATAAAGTTCATCCATAGGGAAGGCAAACTTAATTTAAGAAATGTTTAATTGCACAGCCACCTGCCTGTCCCAGTTCATTCAGAGGTTTGTTACAACAGGCACATTCATTAGCAGCACAGGAAGGCTATTTTTCTTGCCCCCCAAAAAACAAGCACAGAAAGCAGCAAGAAATAGTATTGGCTACATCTGAAGAAACAAAGGGTTTGTGTCACTAGTAGGGTGCTACCAGGGTCATAGCATGCTCTGTAATTGAAACAAACAAAAGCCAG